TTTAGTATCAGACAATGGACAATGACAGGGATGTTATGAAGGGAGAAAAGACCTACCTCTGTAGAAACTGAGGCCATAAAAATAAACACAAAGTGGCTCTGTCCATGGCTGGTGCCCTGTGGCCTGCCAGAGGCCCACACCCATCCTGAGCTGGAGTGAACTGCAAAGCCCCTGGGATAAGAGCCTGGAAGAAGTGCCCATAACACATTAGATGGACCACCTTCCTCGACCCCACAAAGGCAGAGGTACTGTGCACTTACAAAACAAGGTTCTATACAGTGAAGTTCAATACTTTATAACATTAGCATTGGTATACATTATTACTAATGATAAAAATTTATTCAGCACCTGCTATTTCCAAGGAATGCAAACAAGGATAAAATCTCAACCCCCAGGAGGCTTTAAATTAGTTTATAAACACGGCAAGATAACTAACAATATATAACATTTACCAAGCATCAAATGCCAACTGTGTCAAATGTAACTAGTAAGGACTTCAATATGTCCCGTGGGCTTCCTTACCTTGGACCCATCTACAAACTCCCAATGCAGCATCTACACAGGTCCATGAGTACACACACCTATACATTTCTATGGGCCTTTGGTCTCTGCTATTAGTATAAGCTCTTCCAGGACAAGAACCTTGACTTTTTTTTCATTCTTGTATTTCTACCATGCAGCCAGGTACCTGGCACTATAACATTCAGTAAATATTTAATTGATTTAATAATGACTATGCAATGTGAGCTATGCTTTTAACAAAGGGCAAGACTAGGATAAGAGAACTGCAGGTTAAGTTTTCCAAGCATGGCCAAGGGAACCAACCAGGTCACTGAAAGCTCCAGCAGGTAAAGAAAACTTGTGGTCCACAGGCCCCAGTGGAATAATTAAAACCCTTAGGTGGCATCACCTTTAGTCCAGAGTGCCAAGTCTTTAAAGCTGGTCTTCATCATCCATTCTTTTAAACTGCAACATGAGCTTACATTAACAGTCCTAAACCTTTGCTTTAATCTCCATCATTTCCTGGATTCTTATTTCCTGGTCTATTTTTCCTTTGCTGCTTTTTCGGCTGATGCTAAATTAGGGGGGGAAAATGAAACCCAAAGGATTCTGACTTAACATTAAATTGATACTTTATGCACACACAAAGTTTGAGGTATTTTGCTATTAGGTAAAAAAAAATCTGTGGTGCCCAGAATGCCCCACCATTAATTGGAAGTTCCTTAAAGCCTACTAGAAAGTTTACTTTTCAGCTTTCACAGCTCCTAGGACAGATCTGTGCACCGTGTAAATTAGTAACGTCATCACTATCTCATCATTTTGGTAGCTGAGTTGGTCTTGCAAGCCTAGGAGACTCTTGTTAGTTTAAAGGCAGATCACGTCACACTCCACAAGCAAAACAGAGTGGAAAAGGCACGGGCAGATGATTTAAAAAAAAAAAACCGTCCACCATTTGTTGATTCCCCCAAAATAGCAAAGAAAAGCTCTTGCTTAATTTATCCTGAGTTGGGTGGCACCTGTGGCTCAAGGAGTAGGGCGCCAGCCCCATATGCCGGAGGTGGCGAGTTCAAACCCAGCCCTGGCCAAAAACTGCAAAAAGAAAAAAAAAAATTATCCTGAGTAAGTGAAAATTTTTATCTAAACAATCCTACTAACTGCCAGTTCCATGTCTGTTCACTGGACTTATTATTTAGAAATGCAGTTTTTATCAAATGTATTATCTATGAAGCACTTGAGGAGACCCCTAAGTCATCATGCACTTCCTTTACTCCGTTTCTAAATTGCTGGGCCAGATTTGTCTTTCATTAAATAAGATGATTTTACATTTGACATGTTTAAGAGAATGTCAGACTAGCAAAAGTCCCTAGAAACAAAAACCATAGACTTTTCCTTAGTATAGTCACAATTACACACAGGCTTCCCTACTTAAGTGTGCCTGGAAGTTAACAGAACAGATAAATCAAAGAATCAGATAAAAAAAAAAAGAATGGAAAAGTCCTTCACCCAAAAAGCAGAATGCTCACCAGGTATTTCTGGATTTTGCAGATAAAAACTACCTGCCACTGGGAGGTCCAGAGGCTGAAGACATTTCATGGCAGTGCAATCAATCAGAAATTATGAATAGTTGTCTGAATGTTAAAACATTAGGAAAAGTAAATATTAAGACCTTAGGAACAGTATTCAGTATCCTTAAGTGAAATATGAAGAACTATGTGTGTAACTTGAGATACACCTTTTATAATTTTGAGCATATCCCTGGCCAATAAAAGTCACTCTTCAATGGGACCAGGGCAAACATGTATCAAGGACTGTGCTCTTATCCTTGGGTTGCCCTGCCAGATGTGGCTCCACTTTTCTCTTGCCCATTCTGTGCCCCAGGAGGACCCCCTACAGGCCAATTCACCCAGGCACCCCATGTTAGGCACCCTTGGGGGCCCTTGGCAAGAAACGGAAGAGCTTCAGGGAGGGAAGAGGTTCAGGGCAGAGGTTCTCTGTCTCCCCACTGCTGCAGGGGGTGGGTACAGCTCTCACCGGGCAATGCCAATGAACTTCCTCCCCTTCCTCTTCTAGCCCCTGATCAAAGCATTTCACTCCCCTTTGTTGACTCCACACTCCTCTAAGTAATTTATTTTCGTCTGTTCATTTCAACCAATTTAGCTGAACTGCTTCCTGCTAGTCCCCTGTATGATACAAGGACATTCCTAACATAGGGCATTTTATGTCTATATAAAATTGTTCAACCCCAAAGTACAGGTCTTGTTGCCAACTCCCACTTTACCCACCAGGATGCCAAGGCTCTGTGAGGATAGAGGACCAGCTGGCAGTCACAAAGGAAGTTTGCAGGCAGAGCAAGAATTGCACCCAGGTCAGTCTGAGGGCCCTTAATAAAACTTCAACATGTGAAGGAGAAAAACACACCAAGCTTCAAATCCTCAAGCCAAAGTTTCGTCTCAAACCACTGTGTTTAAGGTTTTGTATTTTCCTCAGGGCTAAAATAAGCTACCTGGGGCACTGTCCCATAAGTGCTTCTTCCACCAAGGAGCATTCAAATTTGCTCCTGGCAGTGGTCAGACTGACCTAAGATCAAGAGATCCCAGATGTTCTGTCTATAGCCAACATTTTTCCTTCAGTTCATCCAGAAATCCCTTCCTCCCTCCCAATCTTAAGGCTTTTGTTCTTGTTTATAAATTAAAACCCTGGTTACTTTTACATAAGGGATGAGGGAGGATGCAGTTACAAGTCATAATAGCATTATGCTAGCACCTCCATGGTCCTTTAACAATCTAACTCTGTCCATATAAAAACCTTCCAGGATTCTTCTTTCTAGCTGTGTAGAATAGCTTAAAAGAGAAAATGCAACTAGAAGAAATTCTGATGGGGTGTGTGGAGAGGTAAGTACAAAACAAACTCCCCTTAAGGAAATTCAGCTATGAGTTATATTTAGTTTCAGGGCTAAAGAATGTGCTATTATGTCTGGCTCTGCCTGTGTGCTTGGGTCTCTCCCATCTTCACTGCAAATAAAGAGTAATTCACAAAAAGCACAAATGTGTTGGCATCCGATACCTCTCCCAAGTTCCTGACTCTCTGGATTTTGCAAGGGATGAGAAGGCATGGGTCACACCAGGTGGAGTTTTGAGTCAGATCCTTGGAGCCAGCCAGGTGGAAGGCTGGCTCAGTAAACTGTACCTGAAGAAGGCAAACGTCCAGCACTCACTTCCTCATTGCTGAAGGAATGTGAGTGGAAAGGGCAGCGGGTATGCTCTTGTTAAGAGAAAAGAAAAGAACGCTACTGAGATGGAAGGGAGGAAAACTGGGCAAAACTCAGCATGAAACAAAACAGGCGCCCACTGGCCCCTCCAGCTGTCCTGCTGGATCCCACGTAAATCTACATGTACAGGTATCACCTAGTCACCACGAAGCACACTGAGCAGGTCTAGACCGCAGCATCTAAGCAGACAAGAAAACAAGACAGGCTCGACCTTCAGGAAGACCTCTCACCAGGAATTACTATTGTTGCCATTTTTAATTTTAATGGTAGCGGGCAATTCCTGGACAGTCCCAACAACTTCACCAGGGTTCCTCTCCTCCCACTGACCCGTTCTACTCAAAAGCCTGGAACTCCAAGAATAAGCCAAGTGAACGAACTAAAGCCCTTGGAAAACCAAAGGATTCTAATAGGTCCCTCCTGCCTTTCCGAGAAGCATCACGCGGTACAGAATAACTGTCACCCTGATGGGACATGTCTCATTCCAAGACTCTAACATCAAGCTCTCTCGTTCAAATCTATAGACTGGAGCCTACAGATTAATCAGGCTTGTGTTTTAAGGTGATCTAAATTCAAAATAATAACGACTTGACACTTCAGAGACATGGGATTCATTTAGCAAACTACTTCAGAACTTGATTACAGGAAACGAAGCAATCCAAAACTTAAAAAAGTTCAGGAGACCTTGCCGTGCAGGGTATACCAATATTTTTCACACTTTCAAAAAATATATATATATTAACATCAACTTAAAAAAAAAAAAAGCCCACCTGTCTAGTCCGTAGCTCTTCAACACGCTATGGGGGCAGAGGGGTGCAGAGGTGGACAATCTCCCCCAGCCCCAGCCCAGCTTCACGCCGGCGACTGCCTGGGGAGTTGAAGTTCCAGACCCGGCGGGCCGCTTACCTGGTCCAGCGGGATGCCCAGGAGCTCGCTGAGCGGGTGCAGACAGGTGGAGCCCGTGGTCCGGTAGGAGAGGCTGGGCGGCGGCGGCTCTGCTGCCATCCTGCATCTTCGGGAGGCGGCTGCCCCGGCCCCAGCCCCAGCCCGCACCGCCCTCCTCGGCGTCCTCCCGCCCGGCTGCTCTCGAGCCGCTGTACCAGGGACGCACCGCCACCTCCCTGGCGGAGGGCTGAGCGGGAGGCCGGCGGCCGCGAACCGCCGCCAACTCCAGGGGCGCAAACTTGGCGTTGGCGTTGGCGTTGGCGTTGGCGTTGGCGCTGGCGCGGCGGCCACGGGCGCCGTAGGAGGGCCGAGCCGAGCGCGCTCCGCTTCCCGCTCCCCTCCTCTCGGCGCCCATTGGCCCAGCCGCTCGGGACGGCCCCGAGAGGGGGAAGGAGGGAGGATAAGTGGGGACTCCGAGGCCGGCCCCCGAGCGCCGCCCGGCCCGCCCTGCCCGGCCTGAACCGAGGCCGACCGGGAGAGGGAAGACGATTCCGCCAGGCGCCGCCGCCTCGCCCTGCGGCTGGTGCGCGCAGCCCCCGGCGGCGGGAGGCGCCTCTTCCTTCTCCCGAGCCCGCCGTCCCATCTCCGGCGGACCAGACGCCCTCCAGCCCCGCTCGCCCAGCCAGGCCCCTCCGCCAGAGAGCACTCCAGCACCCCCGTCCCGCCCGGTTTTGGTTTCGCCGGTTCCGCAGCACCCTCCTCCGGGTCCCCGCGCCGGCTCCGAGTTCCTGCGCTTCCTTTCAAGCCGCAAACGGTTCCCCTGCGAGCGGCGGCCGGTGAGCGCCGTGGTGCCCAGCTTCTCACCATCTTTACCGTCCTCCGATCGGGGATTCTAGCTTATAGCCACTTGCGTCTCTTTGGACTGAGAATTCTTTTACCCCTGTAGGAAACGGTGCTTTATTATGTGCATTCTGATACGTTATTTGCGTGCCTCTTCCCCACTTCTCTGCCCTCAGACACCCGTGTACACTGTTACTTGGGAAACTTTTTGAATTTATTGATAGATTATGAGAAGCACAAATCTTGACGATCCTTTCCAGGAATTGCTGTATGCTGGTTGATGAATAAGGCTTTCGGGAAGGCAGCACTCTGGACTGATGGATGGACACCAGAGAAAAGTGGGCTCACGTGTCCTCCACCTGTCCTCCCGGAAATAGCTGGGAGCCGCTCCTTAGTTAAGAATTAGCTGTGGAGCACCCGGTCGAACAGGTAGTGACTTTTGGACAGACTTTGACCATGTGGCCTCCAGCTTCAGATTGTGAGTGGACCAGTCACACTAGAGATGAATTTAAAAGGCTTTGGAGAAACTGTATATATGATTCTAAGATTTGTAACATCTGTGCCAGACACACATTGATAACTTTTACTTCGTCTGTGTCTGTTTCCATCCTCTCTCTCAAAAAAAAAAAAAAAAAAAAAAAAAGTGCTTAAGGAACTTGGTTGTATTTAGGGAGGTTAAGTAAAACATGTCTCTTTGATTCCAGGGTCTGGGCTCTTAGTCCTTTCCTGTAAAATAAAGCATTTCCCTCTTTATCAAGGGGCCTGCCCACACACCTGATACAGGCTTGTCATTTTTGTGGACAAGGCATTACATTTACTGTACCAAAATGGAATGGTAGGGGTGGTGCCAGCAGCACTCTTTCTCACCTGATTTCTACGTGCAGTAGAATGAGGCTCAATAAAGGTCAGGTTTTTTAAATTTTATGGATCCTTGCTCAGAATGTAATGTCACCCAGCACATCCACTGCACATCCTGAGGACTGGTCTGAAATTAAAGGCCAGCCACAAAAAGACATGAGATAGATTCTAGCATGTCCAGAGGCTGCGTGTTACCATGGACCGATTAAAAACTCTACACCAGTTATATGCCAATCCAGACCTAGCCTAAGATAATCAAACAACAAAACTGAATTCAAGCCATCCTCAAAGTTTATAGAGGTATAACCCCTCAAGAAGGTAAAATTCTAATGATTTGTTCCGTCTAGATTCAACCAAAGATTATCACCAATAAAACTTAATTATAATCATCCATCATAATAGACCCCATGTAAAAATAAAATTGCCATTTTAATAATTCATATTTGTAAAAAAGGAAAGGAAAAAATAAGCAAAAATGAAAAAATACATATTTATGTAATGATACCTTATTTACAGAGCATACTCATTTATATCATCTTATTTGATCCCCAGATTCTATGAGGTTGGAAGGACAAGTGTTATATTATTATTTCATCATCTCCATTTTGATTAGAATACTAAATTTCTTGGTAAATTTCATGAATCCTTATGTATTCTTACGAATTGTAAACAGCACAAAAGTAGGCATCAAACTTGAGCATTCCACTGTTTTCTTTAATTATACACAAATATTTTTATTATACTAGGAGTCCACCTTCAGGAAAAGAGCAGAAATTTTTGCCTAAATAGGGCATTAAAATCCAGCCTTAACATTAAATAGCTGATGTGAAGAATGATCAAAATTGATCCATGATGGGTACCACTCTTGTTTTTTTGAGCAGTTTTTTTAAGCATCACTCACAGAACTAGGGGGATTAGCTTTTGCAATCAGTGCTCCTTTCCTTCCTGTGTTAGTGCAACTGATCTGTGTTGCCTGCCTATCTAACATGTTTTCCAACCTTGGATCACTATTAAACTTTGTTTTTATATTTGTACATATTTAGAAAATAAAGAGACAAATATAACTGAACATCTACCAGGTTTAACTATGACTTGCTGAAGTCACAGCATTTTTTCCCCTAATAATACTATATCATTTAGTCATCCGATATAAAGTAACACACATCATCTCAGTGAGCTTGCCCATAATGCATATATCAGAGAGATAGGGACATGCCCAAGGACAAAGTATACAAAATAACATACCAATCTGTGAAAGAAATGCCTTAGGAGAATGTAGAGAAAAGTATACAAAATAACATACTAATCTGTGAAAGAAACCCCTTAGGAGAAAGCAAATCAGAAACCAGATCCTGAGAACTGAATGGAGAAATACAGCCTTCTAACAAACTTCCATTAACCAAAAATACTCAGAAATATATTTATAAATATGATTTTAGACAATTTCCAAGCAGTCAACCCTTGAGCCTCAAATGTAGAAAAGGGGCAGGTAATGAAAATCTACAGAGCCCAGGCTTTTGAGCAAAACAAAACTATGTCTGAAGACCAGGACCCCCTTTTACTGATTTGAGGACTTTGAACAAATCAATTAACTTCACCAAGCCTCAGTTTCCTCCTCTGTAAAGTGGGAATAACAATAAATATATCTTGCATTTGGGATAAGGACTGAATGAAAGATTATATGTGAAATAACCTGTCAGGAATATTACTGAACAAAAATATTACTGAACTCTGCTTAGCTGTGCTAACATTATAGTTTTACCCTTAGTCTTTTAGAAAGGAGAGCATTCTAAACTGCATTGCACATGTCCCCATATGCAGTGCACATGCCTCCATTTTAAATGGAGACAGTGATCTTAGCTGAGTTATAACTGGTAAGTCGGGCATTATTGTGAATAAGAACCCATCCCACAGTTCAGTGATGTCTTAGAGTCCATAGACTCATCCAGAGTTAGTCCTCTCACTAACCTGTGCCCAAGGAGGTATACTTTCTCAACTACTGTGTCTCCTGTGTAGTTTTTCCATCCCTCTTGTTTCATATCTCAGTTGTCACTCACTGCCTTGCCAGCTACTTTGGTTCTCCTGTGATCTGGGGGACTCTACAGAATGCTATAGAGTTGCTAGGCTTTGGCAGAGTGCCTGAGGGGTTCTGGACGATGTGAAGCCCTTCAATTTTCAGTATATTAAACTCCATGCTATTCTGTCTTAGACATTCAGAGGATTTTTTATTTTTGGTCTCACTTCCTGCTTCTTTGGCTGTCTTCCAAATAGTTACTATTGCCAAAGAAGTGTCCTCTGAATGATAAAGTGCAATTGAAGATAATGTTCACAAATATAAAGATAGACAAAATCCTGTGATGCCAGAATCCATGGTTGGCTGCAAAGTGGAGAAAAAGGGAGCAAAGTAGGGCCTCACCTGAAGGCCCTGGAGCCTTTAGGTGTCCCGAGACACGTGGGCCTGCCCTCGCCAACCTCCCCCCCAGCCCCACCATGAGTATTGTAGCTGAGTCCACTGTCACCTTAGGCTTCTAGGAGCTGCACAGTGTTAACCTTTCAAGCCCAGACTTTATATTTGTCTTGAAGACCAGTTGAAATCTCCCTCAATTCTTCTATTTTTACTTTACTCTTCACTCTCACTTCTGTAGCCTGATGCCCAGGACCAATAATAGTACCAACCACAACACAGTTTGGGAACGCACAGATGGATGGTTTCCTGGCACGCAGTGCAGCCAGCCAGACTCATGACTGTCTCTTCTCTTCTCACATAAGTCCTCATAACCCAGCTTGTTGTTCTGAGCCTGTATGGCCTTCTGTCAGCACATTAGACTGGCCAGCCCTGAATGTTGAGTGGACAGTGAAATCCATTATTTACAGGACTAAAGAAGGTATTTGCTCCTATTCACCAGGCTCTTTTTTTTCTTTTCTTTTTTTTTTTAGAGACAGATTCTCACCCTATCACCCTTAGTAGAGTGCTGTTGTGTGACAGCTCACAGCAACCTCCTGGGCTTGGGCGAGTCTCCTGCCTCAGCCTCCCAAGTAGCTGGGACTAGAGGCACCAGCCACAACAACCAGCTACTTTTTTGTTACAGTTTGGCCAGGGCTGGGTTCGAACCCTACACCCTCAGTATATGGGGCCGGCACCTTACCCACTGAGCCACGGGCACTGCCCACCACCGGGCTCTTTTCTTATGGTCCTAATGTTGTATTTCTGCAACTTTCACTTCATTTCTAAAGATTTTACCCATCATTATTGGTCATCTCCCTGAGTATCCTGTAAAGTAAACCTTAATATCCACAGAGGTTACTGAAACACCCTAGTGGAGACTCATGTCAATTGCCAAGAAGGGGACGTGAAGCTTAGCTGACCACAGGACTGGCTCTATGTAGATAGATGCCTCCCACGTGGCATTCCCCAGATTACACTTGGGGAAACCGTGCCTTCACTTGCAAAGATTGATTCAACATTCAGATAATACTGATTGAAGGGCTAGTATTTATAAAGCACTTTGCTAGGTGCTTGGGATATGCATTGATTAGTAAACAAAATCCCTCCCTTATGGAGCCTGCACTATGCCAGGGGAAGACAAAAACAAAAAAATCTACAAATAATGTTATGTCAAGTGACGATAAGTGCACAAAATAATAGAAAAATGCAGGA